AAAAAAAAAAAAAAAAAAAACGCAGATCGTCGATCATCATTGATACAGGCGCAATCTCTTTCTTTCCCGAAGCGCACAATTTCCGGATTGAAGATGGAAAGAATCATAATTGAATTTAAAAAACATAAGCATGATGATTTTACTGATGACTTTGAAAAACGCAGATCGTCGATCGTTGTTTTTTGTTTTCACGACCATATACCACATTGAAAAAACGGAGGAAAAAAAAAAGAAACAGAGGGGGTCGTCGATCGGATAAACTGAAGATTTGGAGTTATATTTTGTGATATTAACCTTCATTTAATCGTAGTAGATGTTGATTTTTTGTGCTGATGGGTATATGTATATTTTCGTTTTTTTTAGATGGATTCGAGCATGATGATTTTACTGATGTATTATAACCTGTTATAAATCGTTAATATAATACACATATACTGTACATGTTATATACCTATAATATACCTGTTATATATTGATAATATACTATATATATATACTAATATGTGCAATACGATCACCTTTTGTAACTGATTATATAATATACATATAATATTATACAACACATATACATATGCTATATTGGTTATATACTTATAATATACTAATATAATTAATTTTTTATTCAGTGTATCTTTATCCTGTTATATACATATAATACACATATACTGTACATGTTATATACCTATAATATACCTGTTATATATTGATAATATATTATTATATATTGATAAATACTAATATGTGCAACACGATCACCTTTTGTAACTGATTATATAATATACATATAATATTATACAACACACATACATATGCTATATTGGTTATATACTTATAAATTATAATATACTGATATAGCTAATTTTTTATTCAGTGTATCTTTATCCTGATATATACCGATAATATACTGTAGATTATTGAGCAGAAGTTGGTAGTTTCGTTGGCACCGTTTATCGGTTTTTTTCGAGCAGAAGTTGGTAGTTTCGTCTTTGCCAATGAAGAGTGTTTATTTGAATTGAGAGAGGTGAACATGGGGCGGTGGTGGTTTTGGAGAGAGAGAGAAATGATCGCACATTCAGATAGAGAACAAAATTGGTTCCGTTTTTTTGGGTAAGTAAATAATTAAATGTCAATCAATTAGATCACTGCATTTGGAGAGAGTGAGAAATGATTAACATTAATGACCACATTCAGAGGGAGAACAAAATTGGTTCCGTTTTTTTTGGTATGTAAATAATTAACTTCAATTAATTATATCACTGCATTTAATTTGTGCGGATAATTCATTAGAAACGGTTACATATTGATAATTCCTGTTTTGGGTATAAATGAAATTGTTTATGCATGTTTTAGTAAATTTATAAATAAGCTTATAACAGATGCACAAGTGTAATATATATCATAACTTAAAGTAGGGGTTGTAATTTCCTCTAAAGTTTATGTGGTGGGCTGCTTTTCGGGAATACCATTTATATTGACGAAGACTCTACAAGTTTCATGGGTCATTTTAACTTGGGCTGCTGTTAGTGGTCACAGCAGCCCCCCAAACCCGCTTTGGATATGCAAACTTAAATGCCATTTTTTTTTTCTTTTGATCGGTATCCATATTTTGTTTCTTGCGTTTATGTCAAAGTGCCGACTTTGCTATGATGAGTATTCTAAGGGTGTGAGGTCCAAGACTGTTAATTTTGCTATTTGTTGATCATGGTAGATTCGAACCTAGTGCCTTCATTGGATTTCAGCCGTCGGATCACACACGCATACAGACATTCGTATGGTTGTGTGTTGATCTAACGTGCTCAGTGCTCAGGGCTATGATTTGTAAAAATAGCTAATGGCTGATAAGCTAGCTTATAGATTATAAGTGATTTTCGAGATTATAGCTTATAATTTATGACTTATAACTGAAAAGTTAGCTTATATTATAAAAATGTTTGGTAAAATTTGTTGATAAAGCTACCTAGAGAAACTTATGAGATAAGCTCGAGCTTTTAAAAAGAATTCACGAAATTTATTTGAATACAAGAAACTTATATAAGTTAATCAAATAAGTTATGAGCTAGCTTATTTAGTTACTAAACATTGCCTAATTTTTGAGCTTATAACTTATCGCTTATGACTTATAGCTGAAAAACTAGCTTATACAATAAGTGTTCGGTAAAATTAGCGGATAAGCTAGTTAGCTTATTTGAAAAACTACTCATAAACTTATGAAACAAGTTCAAGCTTTTTAAAAAAGCTCGTCTTATCAAACGGAGTTTATTTGAATATAAAAGATTATAAGCTAATCAAATAATAGCTTGATTAGCTAACTTATTTGGTTACAAAAAAAATAACCTAGTAGTTACGGATATTCCATTGATCACATTAGCGAACGCGCAGATTTATAGATTCACTATTTTATGCATTTTACTATATCAATCCAGAAATAGCCAAACAAGTACCTTGAAGTTGGCTTTCAAGTTACAAAAAGTCAGGCCATGGAAAAAAAAGGGTATTGAATAATATAATGTGTACTACTTTGATGATCTCCTAAACCAATTAAATAAAAAAGAATCTTCATACAGTACAGGAATTGAGCCTCATTAAAAAATTGGCCATGGAAATGGAAAAACAGGTACTTGAGCTCAATGACAAGACCTTGTTTCCAAAAATATAACAATGAACGATAAATTAACCATCCCAGACAAATTTCTTATGCATGTCAAACTTCAGAAGAAAATAAGAAAAAAAAAAAAGATAAATTTACATCTGTGGACCAAGTGGCAACCGGCTCATAATCTGTTGATAGGCCAAGGATCCATCTGAACCACCCTCCACTACGGGCTCCACCTTAGGTTCGGTTTTCGGAATAACAAGACCCATATCACTCACTGGCCTCGGCCCGTATCCTAAATACGGATGAACTTGCATTGGTGGGAGCTTCCCTTGATGATGATGTCCGAAGCCAGCCAAACCCAGGCTGGCAAACCTCTGCTAGCCCAAGCCCAACCCAAACCCATACCCTGGGCCAGGTCCCATGTGCTGAAGGCCTTTCGAATCGGGCCATGGCTGCTGCATGCATTTGAGAAGAAGGTTCGGCCCGTTGGACGTGTCCACTTGTGACGGATGCTGCAGCTGCAGGAGTGTGGTGTTGGTTTGTGGGCCCAGAATTCGCATGGCTGCTGTTGCGGGCCGCAGGGACATCGTGATTGTGCTTGCCCTCGTAAGTGGTTATCACTGATTTAAGGTTGTGAGAAGCCCGCTCGACGTGTTTTCGAACGTTGCAGCCCGGGCTCGTGCACTTGTAGTAACTCTTGCAATATGCATAGGGTACTTTTCTTAAAAAATAACTCTAATATCTTAACAAACTTCTAATGTCTAAACACATCTTGTTTAGTTAAATAAGTAGATGATCATATAACAAATGAAGCGATAAAATTATCTAACCTTGGATTCGAATTACCTTTCACAACTTTCTGCCCATATTTGTGCCAGCGGTACCCATCGTCAAGTATATCCACCTCGCTCGTCGTTTGGGCCACGACTCTTGGCTCCCTTATAGCCCTCGTGGCCCCACTAACCTCCGAAGCATAAGCCTCGATTCTCCTAAAGAAAAGAAAAAACTATCATATACGATTACAACAAAAACAATAAATAAATATAAGAGAAAATTGCAATTTTAATATTGTATGTTATCAACCACAACTTTTTGGTCACCTTTGAATTGTTGTTTTGAATTTCGTCCCTTGTGTTTTTCACAACCCCTTCAAATTTGCAAAAAATTGCAATTTCGCCCCTTATGTATGCTCGTGGGGAATTCAAAATTCAAAATAGCAATTCGAAGGGGACCAAAAAGTGAATACACACCGAACTTACTCTGTTGATAAGAGTTGAAATTAGGAACTATTTTGGACTCGGCAATAGGTTTGAAAGCGAATTCGGCTTGTTATCTTCAAAAGCATTATTCTCCATACACTTGTTATCAGATTCATCTATCATCATCATTGTCGAGTTTTGATTGTTGCCACCCTGAGCAAATGCAAATTTTCCAGTTGTTGGGGATGGCTGAACCTGCACATTATGTAGAGCATTTAGATAATCAGTTAGAACAATTTAATAACGTATATAAGAACAATCATGAATTTACGGTAGTAATATATTCTTAGGAGTAACTTTTTTAACCAACACTTACAAAAATCCAAAGGCAATAACTACATAGTCAGCTTTTATGCTATATATTGTTATAAACAACAATTCAAGAACATCACAAATGTAACTCCATTTATTTATACTTATCCGAAATAATAAAACTCACCAGCGAATTAGTTAGGAAAACAGGGGAATCGAACAGAGTAGTTGGGCTAAGACCAGGTGTGGACTTTTTGCCTAATACTTTCCATATTTAGCCTCGGAGCATTAAACCCAGCTCTGGCAGCCCTTCTCTCCATAAGGCCTCCACCACGTGAGCTCGTTTTGGGCTCACTTGATCCATCGCCTGGTGTGTTGGTTTGGGCTTGAGGTTTATTCTGATCATACTGTAATTCGGGCTCTTGAAAATACGGCCTGTTTTTATTTTCATTGTCAATCATTGATGAAAAAAGGGGCCTTGGCCTCGAACTTGGAGGCATCCAATCTCCCATGATAGCAACATGATCATCAAAATCCCCAACCCCATGATATTTTTGTTTTCTTTTCTTTTCTTGAATCTTACGGAAGCCTGAAACCTGGAAGATGAAAAAACCAGAAAAAAAAAAAAGAAAAAAAAAGAGAAAAAACTAATGAATATGATTCCACACTAGGAAAATAAAAATAGTAACTTTTTATCGTTACAAGTGCCAAATTTGTTCGGTAAATACAAGCCTCATGGCGCCATTGTGGTTGATATAGTTTTGTGTCACTATTATTCCTACTTGAAAGTAACTCATCAGAGAAAATAAAAACAATCAGATTTTCTCCACGCCTGATAATGACAGGCATTATATCAACTCCAAAGGTCCCCAAAGCTAAAGTTGAACATGAAAAAGTAAATCAACTCCTTCATAAAGTTAAAAAAAGATACTCGTTTCTTTTAAATCACTAACTCACAAAATTTCTCGGAGAAATAACTCGAGTGAGGCAGGTAAGAAGCTTCACAAGAAATAGTTCTATAATATTTGGTCTTCAACATCATTGACAAAAAAGTAAGTAGTGCAAGCTAAAGCAAATCAACCTACAGAAAGATTGACCAATCATTGATAAGAAGTAGGCCACTTAGCAATGAGTTCTCAAATAACGACAATTAGAAATGAAGCTTCGGTTAAACCCAGAATCCTTATTGAGTGTCCTAGCTAAACAAAGACTCCATATCCATCAAAGGTCCAATCTTTACAGATAACACAAACATATTGCATGCCCTAGCTAAATAAAATACTAGATATCCATCAAAGGTTCAATCTTTAGATAAACTATGGTTTTTCTGCTAGCCTAACCCAGATTCCATTGATAATGAGGGGGACCAAATAATTCAATATGGTTCGTTTGCTAAACCATACCACAAACATATTGCAAGCCCTAGCTAAACAAAGACTATATATCCATTAAAGGTTCAATCTTTACAGACAACATGGCGCAGACCCTAGTAAGATATTGTCCGCTTTGGGCTACTTCCGCCACCCGCACGGCTTTGTTCTTGGCTGGGCTTCAATACACACCCACCAAAACGCGTCTTACTAGTGAAGGTATCCACACCCTCATATAAGGCCTGCTTCGTTTCCCTTCAAACCCGATGTGGGATGCGCTGCATCATCCACCCCCCCTTGGGCCCAGCGGTCACCGCTGGCACATGGGCTGGCTCTGATACCAACTGATGTAGGGAAAACGTACGAGTGGGAAAGATACACGAGTAAACGAGATACTCTCTCGTAAAACACGAAAGACTCACAATCTCTAATCTTATTTCATATTCAAAATCAACTAATCAAAATAAACTAGAGGAAGTCCTTTATATAAGGCTCCTAACCCTAAACCTTAACTTGTCCAACAAGACAAGAACTCTTATTAAATATTAAATAATAATATTAAATTACTAACTTACTCTCTAAGACACCTATTAAAGAATAAAAATAATAATAATAATAATAATAATAATACTCTACACCATTCTCCCCCGGTTCGGAAGGCTTCGCCCTCGAAGCCGACGCGCTTCCGTGGCTGGTGTGGAGGCGAACCCATGGTATTAATCCCCAACGTCTTCCCCTGTCGAACACGAAGGTTGAATATCGCACCTCCATGATATCACCCCCTTGAAAGTCATGGAAAGGCATATATGCAGTAGCCACACACTGAATTTTGAAGTCACTGTGGGGACCAAAAAACAGCATACAAGGCCGTAACAAATTCCCGTGAGAGAAAAGCTCGGGCCTACGCAACAGAAGAACTACTAATTCTTCCAACAGCTGAATTTCGATATCCGGAACATGATGAAATTCCTCTGCCCTCGGAGGCTCCTCATCGAAAATCGGCGTACTGTCATAGAGACCGTCCACTTCGCCAGTAAGACACTGCTTCACCTCCTCGGGTCCTTCATCAAACACCGGCGGACCATCGTACAATGGCCCGTCAACTTGCTCTTCGTCGAATTCGAAGATGTTAACGCGAAACGGGCCCTCCCATTGACCATATTCGCGATCAAATCCCCAATCGTGTCTGGCACGATATTCGCTGGCGAAGGCAGCCTCCTCGCGCCTGCCTCTATCGTCGCGTTGATTGTCGCCATCCACGAAGACCGAGCCCCGTCGCCGCATGTCACGCCTGCCGTATGCAGTGAAGGGGTCAGTCTCGACGTGCGGGGGTGGAAAATCGTCGAAGGGATTCACCTCCAAGATTGTCTCCTCGCTGTCTTCGTCGCCGGACGGTGGTTGTGGAGATCTCCGGCGGGGCGCCCCGCTTGGACCACGGCCTCCACTTCCTCCGCGAAATCCCCTGCGCACGCCTCGGCTGCCGGCGTCACGGTACGTTTGCTTGTCCCGAACCATGGTACGAATAGTTAGACGTACATCCCCGATCTCCGCAGACAGATCTGCAATCTCACGACCCATCGTCTCGAGCTGGCGGACAAACCACTCGGTCCGGCGGCTCAGGTTGTAGATGGCGGCGACACGCCTGTCGTTTGCAGCATCTTGTCGTCGCGACAGCATCGTGAATCGTGCTGACTTCTAGTAAGATATTGTCCGCTTTGGGCTACTTCCGCCACCCGCACGGCTTTGTTCTTGGCTGGGCTTCAATACACACCCACCAAAACGCGTCTTACTAGTGAAGGTATCCACACCCTCATATAAGGCCTGCTTCGTTTCCCTTCAAACCCGATGTGGGATGCGCTGCATCACAACACAAACAGAACAACAACTGGAAACAAGAAATTGAAAAGGAAAGACATTATTCAAACTATAAAACCAAGATCTACCTATCATAATCGAGAAAAGAAAAACACAAAAGAAACTTGGACGCATATACAGTCTAAAAAACATGGGAAACTTCGGATAGAACATAAAATCAAATAGAAAAAACATGTCTCATTATCAGCTGGGTTTGACAATAAGGGCACAAACAAACAATGACCCAGAACAAATTCCTCAGAGTAAACTTCAAAAACATGGAATAAATGAAAAAAAAATGGGAAAATTTTTGAATAAAGGCTCAATCATTAGCAAATAATAAGCAGAAATACCTGAATCTTGAAACACCTTTTTTTTATTTTAGTTTCTNTCGGAGGAAATTGAATCGAATTGGGCTCTGAGGGAGCTGATCCGAATTGAATCGAATTTGGCTAGTATTGTGCTTAGTTGAAGTTGGATTTGATGATTGCTTGTTCTCGATCTTGACGTGAACGAAGTTCCGGGGTGATTTTCAATCGATATAGAGCATAGGCGATTTAGGTTTTAGTAGGAGATGGATTAGGAAAATAAGAAGAGTCCAGACCATGCTCCGGCCGATGATAATGAAGAGACCAAAAAGTCGGAAACTTTTGCCGAATCCAAGGTCGGCGAAAATGGTTCTTCGGGAGATGGTCACGGTGGTGATTTACATGTACTCCTTGATGTTAATGGAAAAGGCACTGAACCATCGGTATTTTGTGATTAATGGTTATTCACAGGAACTGCAGAAACACCTAATTTTAATTTCAGCACATAACATTTAATCTCATGTAGAAGAGTTACCGGATACTGTATCTCTGATGTTGTGTGTTTTGTGATAGAGTCAGAGATACCAAATTTGAAAATGTGTTTAATCGAATTGATCTATAAAAGAGATGACAAACCAATTTTACAAGTGCTGATGACCAGAAACTGTAAACTTCCTGCTTCTAATTGTATGTCAATGACCCTATATATACTATTTAACCAAATTCAAAATGAACAAGGCTGCTGAAATAAAAGCCTTGCCCTACCCTTTACTCTCGCACTAAATAACTCGAACTTAAGGGTGTGTTTGGTTCAATGGAGGGGAAGGGAGGGGAGGGATTTTAATGGAGGGGAAGGGAGGAGAGGGGAGGCGATGTAAAATAATTTTACCTTGTTTGGAGGGATTATTCAGGAGGGGAAGGGAGGAAAAATAGTAAACCTTGTTTGGTTCAAAAATTAAAGGAAGGGAAAATAAAATTAAAATGACAAACTTACCCTTAATGAAATAAGATAAAAAATAAAAAATAATTGAAAGTAGGGACTAAATGGTGTTTTCACACCATCTTAACACATTTTCCTTCCAAATCCCTCCAATTTTGGAGGGGAGGTAAAGTGAGGGAGGGGAGGGAAATTTACTTAAAATTTTCTTCCCCTCCCCTCCTAATTTTCTCAACCAAACAAGAGAAAACTAAAATTTTCCATCCCCTCCCCTCCCCTCCCCTCCAAATCCCTCAAACCAAACACTATGTAAATGACTTGATCAAATTAATGAAATAGCATACAATTATGCACATATAGTTTCCAATATAATAACTTCAGGAACCGCTATGGGACATTTAGTTATTCTTTGATGTGATGTGACTTTTCTCATTTGATGGAGGGTATGTTTCATGCAATTAACCTTTCTCCATTTCCTTCTTTTAAGTCTCTGTGTCTAACGAACCATGACATATTTGCCCAGAGGTGCTAAAGTTCAAGGAAATAGGCAATGATGACGTTCACCCAGATCTGGAAAACGAAAGCTATGAACAGTTCACATGTGGCGAAGCTGTACTAGATTTTTCTCCAGGTTTACAGCCTAAGGAGTTGGAAATAGCAAAAGGAGAACTTGAAACAGAACTCGAGGACCTATTTAAGCAAAAGATTGAAGCTGAAGTCGAGTATTTGACAATATCAAGAACAGTTCAAAAGCTGACGATTTGTGCCGTGGATCAAAATACTATTCCAGTAGACCAAAAGTTATCTGCCTCATAATTGACCGAAAACAAGCTTGGTGATGAGAAGGGTATGTCGCTCGAGAAAGATGCCGAGAAGTTGCGAGATTTTTCTGAAGACACTGAAAGCATTGACCTAAAACTGAAGCTACAGAAAAAGGTGTGTAAGTACACTACGTGTTTTCTCGTGCAGCTATCGTCGCTGTTTATTATCATTGGAGTCTTTATGTACAAGTTGTCGCCAAATTATTCGGAGGTTGTTCCGACTTAATTTTGAGATGTTTTTTTTTTTCCCCTTCTTCTGTGTTGTTTTTGTCTTGTTATGTGTATCAAATGTTATTGTACTTTTTCAGTCTTTTCAGAATTAGATGTACATCAAACCTTCTGAGAATTTATCATCTCTTTCTGTGAGAAGATATTTATTTTGTATGATAGCCGATTTTTGCTGCCTTAATTTTTCGAATTATTGTAGTATTTTACGAGTACTGATCCTCCCAAAGTATTTGGTCCCGTGCTTGCTAATTTTTTTAAATAGTTATGTAAGATGAATTAAATCAATAGTTTGTTAAATCAGTTGTCCTTTTGACTAGTCATGAGACGAGACGAGATGAGAGGAAATTGAATAGATACATGAAAAACCAACATATTAACAATGACAGTAATGCTAAGGAGCTAACTGTTGGCTCCGTTACGAAGCCAACAGCCAATGGGACAGCTCCATGTGGAATTGTCCCACATTGGAGCCATTTTTATTGAGGGGGACAGTTCCATTGTTAAGATCTTAGCTCATATATTTTCTAAAATTGTTCAGCTCAAAGCGTACATAAAGAAATCGCCATTGTTAAGATCTTAGCTCATATATTTTCTAAAATTGTTCAGCTCAAAGCGTACATACATGATGTACCTATATGTACAACTCATATGCAAAACAAAAGAGACGAAACAAAACGACGTAATCCGAACTTAAGTGAGACGACGTCGTACGAAGTTTTTAATTAAACAAAAATAATATGTGATGCGTGTGATCAATGTTTCCAACAACTAGCAATACATTAATTTAAATTATGGAATTAAATTATTTATTATTTTATACATATTTATTATTGGAGCCAATGGGAAAGCCAATGGCGATTTCTTTATGTACGCTTATTGAGGGGGACTCTTTCAAAAAAGCAAAGAAATGAGAGACATTTTTATCTCTAAACAATCAATAAAAATATACATTCATCCAAGATCTGGATTTTCCTACTTTTTGAAACAAATTCGTATGGTATTTTGGTGTTGATACAATTTTTGTTGTCAACATATACATTCAAACAAAATGCACTAAAAGTCTAAAATCACATTTATAACCCAAGATAAATAGTTATAATTGTTATTATATATTGTATTCGGAGAATTTTGTGAACATATTTTGGCGTAGGATTGGCTCCCGATAACGCAACTCTACGAATCAATACACTCCTAATTAGTTTGTGTTGTATTCGAGGAATTTTGTGGACATATTTGTTTTTTTTTTTTGTGGATTATATGTAATGATATTTGGACATATTTGTATTTTGTATAAATTATTGTGGTTGATTGTTCTTTCTTTGACGAATGGATTGATATGAGGTTGTTGAATTAATATTTGGTTATGGAATCGATCTCGATTAATAGGTGTGTTTTTTTTATTTTTGCTGCACAGGTAATGTTTCTGCACAGTAAAACGTAATATGAAAATACAGTTTTTTTAAATAAAACGTATTTCAAAAATACGTTTTAAGATATTGAATTTAGGGCAAAATTAAGGCAAAATCACTGCAAGGAAAACGTATTTTTATAATACGTTTTATATTTAAAAAAATTATTTTCTCCAAAAAAATTATTTTTAAGAATTCTAAAATTAATTTTATTTATAAAACGTATTTCAACAATGCGTTTTATAATTAAAACGTAATTGTAAAATTAATTTTAATTATAAAATGTATTCCTATAATCCATTTTTTTTTACTTTAAAACGTATATCGGTTATATGTTTTAATATAATTTAATTAACTTAATTACGTTAATTACATTAATTAATTATTTTAAATTAAACCGTATTCTCGAAATAAATTTTATAAGTAAAAACGTATTACCAGAATACGTTTTCATAGAAAAAACGTATTCCTGGAATACGTGCTTTTGATTTTGGTCGACCTCTCTATTTTTTTTTTTGTCCACTTAATTTTTTTTATTTTTAAATAAATAATAATTCACTTAAGGCCCATTACTGATAGGCCCAACTACATTAATTCAGCCCAATCATGCCTTCCGCAGCCTTAATCGTGCCCTTTTAAATTCACGATCCGTCAACCTCTATCGCAATTTTCGTCCCCTTCGCCCCAACCCTAATTCCATCGTCCGACGGCTGATTCACGACACCATTGCAGTAGATGGCGACCTTTGCCCGACCTGAGAATGCCCTGAAAAGAGCTGAAGGTTTATGAATCTCAATCTGAATTATTGTGTTTTGTGCTTTTCCTATTTTGTATGTGCCATCCAATCATTATATCCTGTTTATTATCACATTTTGAGCTTGAAGGCGCTTGAGCTAAACTGCTGTGCATTTGAGTTTGATCCTCCATAGTTTCAAGTACACTATATTTCATTTATCTTTTTTTTTTTGCTTTTGGATATTCCTGAAATTGATGCAATCGCAGGTTAAGCTAATGAGATGAAATGTAGTGACTGAACCATCTTAATCATTCACGAGTCCACCATTGTCTGTGTGGTATAGTCACACTAGTAAATGTTATTATGTTTACATATTCATATTATACATGCTGATGCAGAGTTGATAAATGTTGGGCAAAATCAAGAAGCCCTGGAAACTCTTCATGGTTTTATTACCACAAGGAGGTATAGAGCTTGGACTAAAACTCATGAGAGGATAATGTTCAAGTATGTTGAGTTATGTGTCGACATGAGAAGGGGAAGGCATGCTAAAGACGGCCTTATCCAGTATCGTGGCATCTGCCAACAGGTTAATATTACTTCTCTAGAGGAGGTGATAAAGCATTTCATGCAGTTGGCCACTGATAAGGCTGAGCTTGCACGTAATCAAGCTGAGGCTCTGGAAGAGGCCTTGGATATTGATGACTTGGAAGCTGATAAAAGGCCTGAAGATCTGATGTTGAGCTACGTTAGTGGTGAGAAAGGAAGAGACAGATCTGACCGTGAACTTGTTACTCCATGGTTTAAGTTTCTGTGGGAAACTTACAGAACAGTTTTGGAAATTCTCCGAAACAACTCAAGACTTGAAGCTCTGTATGCTGTAAGTTTTGTCCTATAAGTGTATATTTTGATTTGCTAGCTAGTTCATGTTAACCTCTTGATGTAATGTGCTTGCAATATTTGTTGCTTATTATTTTGACAAAGTTTCTAAAACAACAAATGTTGAATTTGGTATAATTGCTAAATCCTTTTGCCCCTTCATATATATTTAAGTATTTTTCGTTGCTTTATAAGACTTGTTATTTATGAGTTAACTTTGGTTAAAGGTCTTTCTGAGTGGGTAGTAAAAGCTTTTATGTCGTTAATTGAAGGTCTCAAGTCCTTGATACATACATTTCAATTGATTTTCATTGTGCTTCTGTTTAAATTTTCAGATGACCGCACATCGTGCCTTCCAGTTTTGCAAGCAATACAAGCGTACGACAGAGTTCCGGAGATTGTGTGAAATAATTCGGAATCATCTGGCAAACCTTAACAAGTATAGGGACCAACGGGATAGGCCTGATCTTACCGCTCCTGAAAGCTTGAAGTTGTATCTTGATACCAGATTTGAGCAACTTAAAGTTGCTACTGAACTTGAACTTTGGCAGGTTTGTTGTGCTTTTTTACTTGTACATGCAGTTTCAAATGAGTGATAGGTTTGTGACAACTTGTACACCAGACTTATGATTCTCTATAAGTTACTTAACTTTCGTTGTTTCTGGATTTGCAGGAGGCATTTCGTTCAATTGAGGACATACATGGACTCATGTCCATTGTTAAGAAAACTCCTAAACCTTCTGCTTTGGTTGTTTTCTATTCTAAGCTTTCTGAAATTTTCTGGATGTCATCCAGCCATCTTTATCACGCTTATGCATGGCTTAAGCTTTTCACACTTCAGAAAAGCTTTAACAAGCACCTAGATCAGAAGGATTTACAGTTAATAGCATCATCAGTTGTTTTAGCTGCACTTTCTGTACCTCCTTATGACCGCTCATATGGTGCATCTCATTCGGAGCTTGAAAATGAGAAAGAGCGGAATTTAAGAGTTGCAAACCTTATTGCTTTTGATGTTGAATCCAAACCTGAGAATAGAGAAGTGGTAACAGTCTTGGACGAACCTTTTGCTTCATTATAGCTATTTAACTGGTTGCCTTTTTTAATTAGTCTTTTTTTTTTTTCGGTTTCAGCTTTCAAGGTCATCACTGCTCTTGGAATTGGTAAGCTACAACAATATCAATTGATCTGACACACTTTAATTCAATTCTATGAATTTGATGGAATTGCTTTCAATTCACTTGATATGCATTGTTTATGTCATTTATCGTGTTCCTAACTTTTCTCTCTGGCCTCTCATTAGGTATCCAAAGGAGTGATGAACTGTGTTAACCAGGAAGTGAAGGATCTTTACCATATCTTGGAGCATGAAAATCTTCCTTTTGACCTGACTCTGAAAGTGCAACCCTTGTTGTCGAAAATTTCTAAGCTTGGTGGTAAACTTGCTTCTGCATCTTCTGTACCAGAATTGAAATTCTCTCAATATGTTCCTTCTCTGGAGAAACTTTCTGCTCTGAGGTTGCTGCAACGGGTATGTATTCTCACCTCGTCGTGCTACTCTCCGTTCAAATAATTGGATGCCATTGGACACTTTCAAATAAAAATTCTCTCAGTGATTTTTCAAATGCTTACTTCATTTTGACCTATATTTTTTACACCCACCAACCTTTTCAACTCATTTTCAAAATAAAAACCACTAAATCACTAATTATTAATACGTATTTTCTATAAATTATCACTATTGAC